TTAAGTCATATGACTGAATTAGAAGAGAAGATGAGATTCAAATGTGTAACAAATTTTCATAAACGAAGCAGCATGATTTCTTAATGATTTCGGTAAGAAACTGATCTTTTCATCCTCACTGCAACTATGAACAATACCAACCTTTGACCACATTCACAAAAGTAAAGTGCTGACTTTAAGGTACTTTAAAATAAGAGCAGTATGATTAAGTCATCTAGGTTATGGCTGAAAACATAATATGAAATAGAAGCCTTCTGAGGAAATTATGGTCTTAAGCATGCGTATTTTTTCTGTATATTCTGCTTTTACATTATACTATCAAAGAGGTCATTACAGTAAATATGAGCATGGAATTGGAAAGGAATCTAACCTTATGAGGGGAAATAAAAACCTCCTTGTGTTGGAGCTTTTCATGTTTGAACTTAATCAAACTGAAGTGCCTCATCAATCCAGAGGGATGACTGTGTACTGGCACAAACGAGAAGATACAAACAGGCAGCAGACGCAGGCAGGGCTGTAGCAATGACAACTTTTGTGAGCTTATACTGTTATAAGTTCACATATAAGTCTATGTCAAGTCTATTAAAATGCTATTAAAGATAAAAAAAAAAAAAAAGTTGAGCTGCTTTTAATCAAGGTTTAACCAGGGCCCCTGTCCAGTTCACTGCAAAGCCATACAAAAGTTCATATTGCACAAAGAATAAATGTTCAGGGATGACAGCAACACCTTTCAATTATGCTGCAAGTTTATGCTGCTGTAATTGCTTACAGCAATTGTGGAATTACCCTGCTAGAACTTGGTGTCATACTGGTTTTAAGTGAATTAAGACTGCAATGTTGCCAAGAGGGTACATTCCCCAACACACAGCTTGTGCTGACACTCTCCTGCTTCCGTTCTCATTGCATATATTAACTCTTTAAGAGCTGTAACAGCTGATCCAATTTACTCTATATTTACAAGAAAAAACAATATCAGTGCAAAAGGAAAGACAGAAGCATGCAGTCAGGACAGGGAGAAGGGCAAAACAGATGAGCCTTGTTAAAGCAGAAGCCTTGCTCGTCTCAATCCCACAGACAGCAGTTCAACACTGTGAGGTTTAACAGGCTGGAGTATTTTCAGCAGGATCAGTTCTCTGAGCATTCAACATTGTACAAATGAGGACACAACAACGGGCAGCAGCACTAAACAGCCTGAGAGAGGAAGAAGATAGGACTGCCTTCCAGAGTACTGACAGTTTAAATTGTCTCACAGTGTTCACTGAAGTGTACTTGTAGATTGTACACAATTGCTATTGTTAAACTGGAGAAGTTACTCCAAGACAGATGTACTACTTCTCAATATATATTTATCAAAACACTCCTTTAACTTGACATCTATATGCCCCAAAACACACTGCTTTTTCCAATAAATTAGCTGTTATAATCAAAAGACACAACCTCTTTCTCCTATTCTTTCCTATAGCCTCAAAATCAAATCAGAAACTTCGATTGCTACAAGGTAAAAAACAAAAGTAGTCTTGGTTACGCAGTGTGGATGAATATAAATATAGTGACAAATCACAAATCTCAGAACATAAACAAATCACATCATGGTTAAAATGAAACTTTTGCTATGAGTTATCAGCAAATGGTAAGGGTAAGAAAGCCCTTTACAACACACATTATTGAAAATGGCTTGAGAGAAGTTTTTAAAGTACAAAGATTTAGAACTCGTCCCCGTACATACAGACTGCAGACTCCTAAATGCAGAACAAAAGAGTGAAAATCCAGAGCTGCAATACAAATAATGATTTTTCTGCTTAAGAGCAATTATCCCTTTTTCAGGAGATGAAAGCTGTGCCCTATACATAGCTAAGACTCTCTAAGGCTGAATAGCTGCTTTGGTTTTAGAAATCCAGCAATAATTTTTAGCATCCCTTCCTTTCTAGGGCCATCTAGTAAACGCTCTCATTCTATCCCTGTGGCCTGTTCCTGAAGGCAAATTCTGACTGATGTCATGGAACATATGAATGTAATAGTAATCTTGTAAAATTGGGAGATAGATAGGAATTATCTTTCTACTGTTTCCTTTAAGTACTAAAATGAATTCTGTCCTTGAAAAAATGCTTTTACCACTGGCGCATTACAGAAAAGTGGGACACTTTATTCTGTTCTCTTTCATTGCAGAAAATAGGAAAATATCATCTAGAGAGGATCAGAAGTGAACTGAGATATCTTCCTGCTGTCCTCATTCACATTCAGACACTTCTATACTGGCCAGTCTATACATTAATTTTTAATTGTATTCCTAATTCTACATGCAGTACCTCTGAAGTAAGAGCACGTAACATGCTTGATTCCACTGGAGGACAAAACAATTAAAATGTAAATGTAGCTTGTTATTATAGAAGACCTTTATTGAACCTTGCTTTTAAAGTAAATGGCTATATAAATTTACAGTTTTGGAATAACTTAAACCCTTTATTCCGTTCAGGAACATTTTTATTCAGGTGAATATTTAAGCATTGCATTCCACTAAGTGAGTTTTGGATTTAGTGAGAGCTGAAAAAAGTCTTAAATACTGTATCTACTTAATTTCTGCACTTACTACTGACTATGAAAGTAGACTTTATTCAGAAACATTCACGAAAAACAGCTTAGTAAAACACTCTTTGCCCAAGCAACATAAAAGAATTCTGGAACACTTACTACAATATTTACAGTCATATATGCATAACTGTAATCTGTTAAGACTCTACACTAAGAGTTTAAGACTAACTACATGCTTGCACCAAAGGCTATTAATCAATACCTCATTGTTTGACCTGGAGATGCCAAACACGTTTAACCCTGTGCCTTATCACGCTGTTAACAAAAAGAATTACCATGTTGTAACCAGATATTCCTGCTGTGCTTTCAACCCTCCAGCCAGCTCCCAAGCCTTCCATGAGAACTTCATCAAAGATGTCAACCTCTGACGAGCGAGTACTTAATAAATCTAAAGCTCCAATTAAAAGGTAGTTGGAAAAGTAAAAAGGAAGTCCCACTTCTGCACAGACAGCGAGGCAGTGAGATATTCCTTTTTTTGCACACCAACTGGAGAATATTCTGGCAGCTGCCTGACTGCAGATGGGGCTTTTTCAAAACATAGCCCTGGCACTATGAATCTCCCAAGACCACTAAGAGTTTCAGAGCTTCCAACCCAGTTATGAGTAGAACGTATGCAGCAGGTCAGAACACTGTAAACCTGAGCTCTGAAAGGCTGAGAGGGCAAGCAAGGGGGCAGACAAGCAGGGCAGAAATGAAACAGGTAGCTCAGAGAGGTCAGGCAATCCCTGATGTTGGGAGGTTTCACAGTTTAGCTACGAAAAACCATCATTGACCTGATCTGGGTGCTGGTGACAGGGCCACTTCAAGTGGGAAGTTGGGTTAGATGATTTCCAGATGTCCATGCCAAAAAGAATAATTTCTGTTATTCTGTGAGTAGCTGCAAAGGCAGCAGATTTACCTGTATGCAGTTGCTTAATGGCAGTATCACATGATTTAATGGTCTGTTCATGTTCAGGAAGTTAGAAATGCAGCCATAAAAGTTAATATTCTATAAATATTTAAAAGCAAACCTGAATTCTGATTAAACTCATAGTTAGTTATTTTCACAAGTCACAGCTCCTTTTTTAAAATTAAATATGTATTTCTCAAACTCTACTGAAATGGCTGATTCTTCTAGACAAAATTGTCTTTTACATATCTAGGTGTAAACAACCAAATATCCATTACTTGAATTTTTTTCAGAGAACAGGAAACATATTTTAAAAATTAATCCTAAAGGTTGCTGAAGTATTACAGCTCATTCCATGCATTGCTAGAATAAAAACAAACAAATCAATCAATCTTCTTTAAAACAAAGGGATTATTTGGTTGTGTTCACCTTGTTGTTTTCTAAGTAAGGTGAAATATCTTGAAGTTTTACTAATTAGGAGAAAGTTTTTCAAGTACGTAACTTTTACTCTATTAAAATTTCTTTAAAGACATGCTTGTTTGGGTTTTTAAGAGGATGATCCTGCAGATAAGAGAGACTGCACCAGAAAGACCACTTCAGCAAATTAGAGGGAAATAATGTATTTCATAACAGCTGTCAGAATACTCTACAGATTTAAAAAAACCCTTGAGGACTCAAGCCTTTGCTAACACCTTGAACTATGTCCAAATGAACAACACAATCCAGGAGTTTAGGCAGAGACCTATGGTAATATTACCTCATCCACTCACATGTTGAACATCTGTACTCTGTACTAGTTGAAGCTTTTTAACTCCTCAATTCTGATAAAGGTACACAAATAAAACAGTATAAAGAGATTTGAAGGGCCTTTATACTACTATTTTAACTCCCAAGCCTCCAAGTTCATTCATTAGAAATTGTAACTGTTACTTGTTGGATCAATTTCTCTTTGAACTGCAAGTTGGAGAACTAATGTTTGTTCGTTTAGTATTCTCCTAGATAGTGTGGAAGCTTTTCATTATTTTCCAAGCTTGCTTAAAAAAATCTATTAATCTATTTTACAGATCTCCTATGTGACCATCCTATGTGACATTCACATCAATTTCATACACTATGCCAGTGTACTAAAACTTTTGAGAAATACTGCACTACCACTTGACAGCATTTTGTTAAGTGGGAGGCAGTAAGCCCCACACACAATTCCATAAAAGCTGTCAGTTTAACAGGCTGTGCGCTGCCAATACAAAACCATACAAAAAAACCCTAAAAATAAAAAAAAAAACCAACTTGTGGCATCAAATTAAAAGGCTTGGCGAAAGCATCGCAACTCTCACAGGCACAGAGTTACCTTGCAGTAATACTTCTGCAAAACCTGAGGGTAATTTCAGCAACCAGCAAACTCCAGATAAGGTATTAGCAACTTGCACACCTGCCTGACATGTTTTATCCACAGCTCTAACTTGCTACGCCTCTTGGACAAGTTGAGTTAATTACTATCACTCTATGCTAGCAGCAAACATACCACGCTGTTTTTCATCATGGCTTTAATACTGAAACCCTCGCAGGGCTGTTGCTTGTCGTGCTGCTTGTCCTTCTTCTCCCGCTTCTGGGGCCGCCTGTCACCGGCGGGTTTTGAGGGGCCCGGACGTCCCTCCTCCATTACCATTTCCCCACCGGCGCCCACGACGGACCAGATGCAAATAACGGACTGGAAAAAACAAGGGAACATCAGCGCCCCGTGCCCGGCGAGTTAGGGCAGGCAGCAGGTGCAGCCTCGCTCCCTCCACTCCACATCCAGCGACCCCCTCACACAGCCGTCCTCCGCCTTCCCTGCCCCTCACAGACCCCCTCTGCCTGCCCCTCGCCCCTGCACCAACTCCCTTTCTGCATCACCACCCCAGCTCGTCCCCCCCTCCGCCGTGTCCAGCCCCTCATCGCCACCTGATGTCCTGGTCCCCCGGGGAGTCCTCGCCCCCGCCCGCCCTCCCGCCCGCCGTTGCCTCCCCTGCGCTCCGGCCCTGCGGGTCCCTCTCGGGCTCCGTTGGGCACCTGCCGCCACGCGCGGTCTCCCGGCCACGCCGCCGTCGCCAGGCAACGCGTCAACAACCCGCCGGGGAAGCGGGACGGGAATCAGAAATAACCCCGTCGGCACCGCCCGGTCCCGCACAGCTCTACCTACCCCCGGTGCACCGTACACCGGGGCGGCGGACAGCAATTAACGAGAAAGTCATTAGCGGTGCGTGGGGAAAATGTGAGGCGATGACGTGCGAAGAGCCGGTGCGGGTGTGAGCTGTCAAGGGACTACGCTACCCAGAGAGCCCAGCGTGCGCCTCCACCTCCCTCGCTGAGGCGCATGCGCGTTCAGGGCCGGCCCACCCTGCCCACATTCGCGCGACCCCCCCGGGCGGCTGCAGGGGAAGTGCTGGAGCGGCGGGCGTGGCCGGCACGTGCAGGCGCGCGCGTGCACGCGTCGCCACTCTCCTCCCGCGTGGCCGCGGCCGCCGCCATGATCGGTGAGTGAGCGCGGCAGGGAGCGGGGCCAGCCGGATAAGGATCCGCCCTTTCCTCCCCGCCCCTTCCCTTCCGGCCTCCGCTTTGCTGCTGCTGTGAAAGCCACTGTTGTCGCCTCTGCTGCCTTGTCTGCGGCTCTCGGGGCGGCGAGGGCTGGCTCGGCTCCCTTCGCGTCCCCTCAGTCCCCGCCCGTCCACCCCGGTGCCTCGGCAGAGCGGGGACGAGCTGGGGCTGCCCTCGGTCGGTGCCCGCTGGTTAAACCGCGGCGGGGCCGGGCCGGACCCGCCGGGGCCAAAGTCCTGAGAGGGGTCACTGCCCTCCTGTTTTACCCCCGCGGGAGAGGGGTAAAAAGTCTGGCCAGGCCTTGGGGCTGAGGGCATTTTTAAATCGCTTTTTATTCTTTCTCAGTTTATCGATTGTAAATGCTTCTCGGCAAGGTTTGTGTGATATGCGAACTTTTTTTTGGCCTTGCCAGCGTATATACGTGTTATTAGTCTGGCGTGGTACTGCTGGTGACCTGAAAAGAAGAAACTTTTGACACTTCATGGTTTTGGGAGTGTGACCCTTTGGTCCTGAGCTGCTTTCTGCTGGTGCGAAGCGTGACTCGGTTGTTTCAGCAGTGGGATCTCTTCCTTGAAAGATTAATCCATACCTGGGGAGTTCAAAATTACAGGGTCTGTTTTGTAACCTTCCTGTTACACATTTCATCTTGTTTTGACTTTCTCAGTTTTGAGAATTATTTAAAGTAAAACCTATAAAATCTAGTGGATGCACATGCATTTTACCAACTCTTTGCTGTCCTCAGGCTTCCTGTTTCATCATCAGTATTGGTGTCATAGTTGCTGCCTACTCAAGAGCTGATCAAGTTTAAAACCGTGCATTTTGTTGTGAAAATATTTATTTGTTTTAAATTGAAAATCTCAAAAGTTTCCAAGAATGCTGTGGGTCTTTCAGGCATTCATTTTTTTCCTAGCAGTGTATGATTGCAGGTGTATAGCTAATGTTCTTGAACCTTTGCTAAAGCTAAAAAGAAGCTTATATAAACAGTTGTCCAGTATTTTCATTCTGTATGCATATTAATTCAAATGATCTCTTCCTAGTTGTGGAATTTTTCTTAGAGGACTTTGTCATTTGAGCTACTTTTTTCTTATATAGTAGAGAACATTTTAAATTGAAGGCTTGGCCTAAGGAAAGCACAGGGGTCAGTATTCCAGTGTTTTTATTTTGCAATGTCATGTGCTGATCTGAGCTACTGCTGTACTATATAAAATACATGTGTTTGCAGAACTGCAGTGTGTGTTTGTTTTTGAATGCTTCAGAAAAGTAATTCGAGTGTACCTAAGGGACTGCCCATGTGGTTACAGAGCTGATGCCTCTAGCTTCACACTGAAATCTAAATATTTACTTACTGCTCATGAATATAAATGTTATATTACTGAGGAATGATAATTTTATTTTCACTGTGGCAGACGGAAACGTTTGTGAATATTGATTATGAGATGTACAGACCAATTAGTTGCAAATTTAAAAACACAGCTTTACATGAGTTGGAACCTGCCCTGGTTTAACCCCAGCTGGCAACTGAGTAGCACAGAGCCGATGGCTCACCCCCTCCTCTCCTGCCCAACAGCAGGGTGGGGAGGAGAATTGCAGGCAAAATAAGAACAGTTTAATAATTGAAACAAAGTAATAAAAATACTGATAATGCTAATGATGATGATAATAGTAATGAAGAGGAGAGAGAGGAATAAAACCCAAGAGAAACAAGGGATGCAGAATAAAATTGCTCACTGGCCAGTGCCCAGCCCATCCTCCAGACCAACTCCCACCAGTTTATCTACTGGGCATGATCTGTGGTGTGGAATATCCCTGTGGCCAGTCTGAGTCACTGTCTCCTCGCCACACTCTCCCAGCTTCTTATGCATGTCCTCACTGACAGAGTATGGAAAACTGAAAAGTCCTTGATTTGGGCTCAGCGCTATTTAGCAACAACTGAAACATCAGTGTGTTACCAACATTATTCTAATACTAAATTCGAGATGCAGTATTGTACCCACTTCTAAGTCAAATTAACTCTATCCCAGCCAAAATCATTACACCCTCCCCCACCCCCCAAAAACGAAAGAATTATCTTCAAAGTATGTGATGTGGAGACCTAGTCCAATAGCCTGCTTTGAGACTTTCTGAAAACTCTCCTCTAAACATTTGCGAGCTGTGAACGCCCTAACAAAAATTGGGGGCAGTAGGGCAAGGGTGAGATAATCATCTGCCCATTTTTTAACCTGAGTATTCAAAAGAATTTTTCTATGAAACACACGGTATATTTTCCAAAATGTTTCACATTTTCCTATCTCTAGAAGTGTCTTATGTCCTCATAAGTTAATGTCATAATATACTCGTACACATGATAATTCCTTTAATGGTTTTTTTATTTTCTATCACCTTTTTCTCTTCATTTCTCACAGGCCAGGTCATATAGACTTGTGCACGTTCAGGTTCCTTAAATGGTCATTTGAATCTGGATTGAGCTAGTTAAGTGACATAGCTTGTCATAGCTCTACTTAGGCACATGGAGCTTTGGGGAGTTGTTTGTGGTGGCTTTTTGAAGTTTATTTATCTAATTTATTTGCTTACATTGGATCAGCTGAAAACTGGTGTTAGTGGAATGGAAGTGACAACCTGCAGTTGGATTGGCTGATCTATTTCTTAGTCAGCAGCCCTGGCAATAATGTCACATTCTTTAACACCTGTTCTGGAGGGAAAAAATAAAAAGCAAAACTGATTTTGAAGGAAGATCCTGGGACAGCTTTGTGGAATTTTTCAGAAAATATCTCTCAAAAAGCAAAAAACCCAGGAGAAGGCCCTAAGCTGTTTTAAAAATGTAAAAGATAGGCACTATATAGTTAACAGTGGCAGTTCAGCATTTCTGTGGTGAGTGAGAGATGAAGGTGGTGCTAGCGACAGGTTGCGAAGGGCTTTGACAGTGAAATATGATTCATCCAGCAGTAATCAAGTTAAGGGAGAATGGGAGCCTGGGTGAAAGTTTGAGCTATCTGGATGACCAATCACTCCTCTGTGCTGCACCCTTTTTCAGCATGTTGGTAATCTACTTTCTACATAAATATTTCTCATTGGTATGAAAATAACCTTGAGGAAGCAAAATAAGAATAAACCCTTTCAGAATTTCCCTGAATATATTTATATACATGGCACTATTATAATAAAGGTACTAACATAGCAATCAAAGGAAGAATAGTTTAGAAGTTTTCTACTTAGATATTTTGATCCCATGCTGCAATTTTGAGTGTTTTTTCTTCTGTTGGCATTTTGGTGTTCTAAAGCTATGGATAGTTGGACTATAATACTGGAGTTATAGTTCAAGTTGTAGTTCATGAGTATGTGGAATAATCTGACTGATAGTTAGTTTGATTAAACAAAACCTAAACCTTGGAATATCAAAGGCTACTTGCATTTCAAATACATGACCTCTTTTGCACAGTTTGTTTTGAGCCTTTTTCCCTTCTCCTAGGGTCACTGTATTGGACTTCATGAACAGAATTGCATCATGAAACAGTGTGTGTTTTACTGGAATTATATTTTAATGATTATTTTCCTACAAAATAATTTGTTATTTTTAGTAAGTTAGTAAACAACTTGCTGGCATAGTAATAACATAGTTATATATAACATAGTTATAAAGTTAGTATTATTTGAAGTAGGATATCTTCAAAAGACAGCTGATTTTGCTAGATATACATAAGTATTCTGGATTTTGTTGTTTCTGTGAAGGGAGATGAGAAGAATTTTTGCTTGGGTTTCTTTTTGGAAGACAATTAGTAAGGGGGAGGAAAAGTGGGGTGTGTCTTTTTGTTTGGTTGGTTAATTTTTTTTTTGTAAATTTTTTTTTGGTTAATTTTTGGTTAATTATTTTTTTTTTTACTGATGGCAAAATTATAGTATTATAATATCAAGACACTGGAGACTAACTAAGCAGGGGCTAAGGATATTCTGATGCAGTGTTTTAAATTTTTCAGATAGGGCCTGACAGAAAATTGATCTGGCAGTTTCTTTAAATTATTGCCCATGCTAGGAACAGGGCTAGGACAACTAGGAAAAGGCCGCTGCTAACAAAATATGGAAATTGAGAAAAAAATTTTTGGAAAGTGTAACAGCAAACGCTACTGATTAAGAGTCATTGCCAAGATAAAGAGTGTCTTTTGTAAATGTGTTTAAAGCTAAGGACTTTGTTTTATTCTGTTGCTGTAACACTGCCTCAAGAGGTAATTTTCTTATTTGGAAACACATGTATCCCCATTTACTGAAGTAAGTTAGTTGGGCTTCCACACCCTGTATCATGGAACTCTCAGATGTATAAATGGTCAGGCTACAGGAGCAAACAAGACCCAGAATGGTGCAGGTTTTCCAAGTTGCTATATGTAGGAGAAGCCCAAGGGAGAATAAAATCATTACTGGGAAGGTTGTTACTTTGCCATACAGGTTTATGTAAAATAGATAAATTAAGTATTTTCCATCAATTTTTGGTGTTGCTATGTACTGTATATAAGTATTGTTTGACTGAAAATCAACTTCTAACACAAAATGTAGCCAGTGATATATGAAGTTTTCCATTAAAAGAAGAAA